CCGTCCATGCATAACTGAGATCCGGGTCCGGAATGGTGAAAATGTGCGATTTCAATGCATTTTCGGCCTTAAAGCGGCCGCCATTTGGCTATCGTTAATGAGATCATGAAACAAATGCACATACATATTTGTGACATGATGTACCTTGTGTGTGTGAAGTTTGAACTCGATCAATCCAAGCATGTCTCAGATACGGATCCAGAACTGAATTCTTTAAAACAAAATGGCCGCCAGTCGGCCATTTTGAACCCGATCCAAAAAAAAAATGACGTGCATCAAGGTCCTATTATGTTTAATGTATGTACCAAATTTGAACAAAATCCGTCCATGCATAACTGAGATCCGGGTCCGGAATGGTGAAAATGTGCGAGTTTGATGCATTTTCGGCCTTAAAATGGCCACTATTCGGCTATCGTTAATCGGATCATGAAAAAAATGCATGTCCATATGTCCCATATAATGTGTGATGTATGAGTGAAGTTTGAACTTAATCGGTCCATGCATGTTCGAGATACAGGTGATCACGGACGGACGGACGCACGGACGTACGGACGGACGGACGCACACAGGGCAAAACATAAGTCCCCGTTTTTGGACTGCGTCCGAACGGGGACTAACAAAATCTATCTGTAAACAGCCGAGAAATGCTTGATTTTGATGATTTTTAGCACAAAAATGGCCGCCATTCGGCCATCTTAAATCAGATCGGGAAACAAATTGACGTGCATATGTATAATATCATGTATGATGTATGTGGGAAGTTTGATTGTGATTGGTCCAGGCATTTTAAGATACAGGTACGAACGCACACACAGACGCACACACACACACACACACACGCACGCACACACACACACGCATGCACGGACATCAAAACATAAGTCCCCGTTTTCGGACTGTATCCGAATGGGGACTAATAAGAAAGCATAAAATTTTAATAGAGATGAACAATTCTCACTAAAAAAAAAGATCTAATAATATATAATTAATAAAACACTCATAATCATAATATCAAGGTCTGCAGGTGCTTATGTTCGACCAAGCCTGGTTGACGCCAGGATAGCGCATTAAATTGCCATTTGATATAGAGATGGCAGCACAGCCCTGTCATGTAGTCTCAAAACATGAATATGACTTCTGTGGCAAAAATGCACTATATGTCAGCACTTGCAACTTGCACATACAAAAAAAAAGTCAGGAGAGACAACAGTGACATTCAATGTCCAGAACTGTCACCGGACACAAAAACATTTATTTAAAAACAAAAAAAACACAATCATAATCTGAACAAAAATCAATCACCAAAGTTACTTGCATTATAACTATAAAAATATTCTGGCGAACAGATTTTGAAAATATAATTTGGCAACAAATTAGCAAAAATTACAAAATCACATTGTGAACTGAAGTGGGAGCTGACGAATATAGAATTTTTGAATAAAAATTACTGAAATTAGAGAATTGAAGTTATAGCCATGAAACAATCTGAGAAAAAAACACCAAACCTACATGTCCTGGTTTTGTCTGTTCTGTATTACCTTAATATTCGCAAAGAGTTCCATAATTGGGTGGCAACAAACCTGAGATCATGTTTATTCTAAGTGTATTTGACCTTTAGAATATGAAATTGTGACTCAACGCAAATACTGTGTGTTAATTATGTGACTGTGTCAAAATATTTATCATCATTGTAAACAAAACAAAAATACAAAAAATACTTTGGGAGGATTTCTTACCTGCCCTTTTATTTCATCTGAATTACCTCCATCTTTGTTTCCGAGTTCATTGGAGACTTCCTCATTTGGTGCCTCCAGACCAATTTTAACGTTGTCTGGACTCTGTGAATCTGCTACATTGGGATAAAGATTTTGACTTGGTGGAGGAGCTGGCTGTCCATATGCTGGTTGTCCATAAGCTGGCTGTACATAAGGCTGCGGTCCAAAAGCTTCCAAGCCTGCAATAAACAAAACATTAATATGAAAGACGATATTGCTCGTGCTGCTGACATTGTTCAAAGTAAGTCCATAATTGTTAGTTGTTTATTGTTTATTTATTTATTTAGATATCTGGAAGCCATATCATGAGAGTTCAGACAGCTAGGGCTGTTTAACAAACACTGAAAACAGGTGAGGCCCACATGACAGTATCCTCAGTAGTGTATATTGAATGCATACTGTAAAATACTTTATTTTCCCTTGGAATTAATTTTCACTATTTTCGCTGAAGGAATGATTCAGTGAAAATAAAATCCAGCGAATATACTTTTTATTCTATATTTTACATTCAACTCATCAGAAATCAGTGAAAATAAATTCCATACAAAACACCCAAAAAGTCTTTTCAGCAAAAATTAATTCCAGCTAAAATAAAGTATTTTACAGTATTACTTAGATGGCACTACCCGGATATATAATGAATAAAAAATGACTTCCATCTTCATTTTTACAAAAGGTATCATTTTTCACTTAAAACAACACCGCCATTGTTAATTTATTCAAGACAAAAAAAGATAAACGTATATTAGGATGAATGTATAACTATTTTATTTACTCTTTTAAAAATGTTGAAACCCAAAGATTATTGAAGCTCAAGCTTAGACAGATAAATCAAATCGAGGCCTACAGATAACTGTTGATCATTTTGCTGAACGACAGTTCTGAATTATTAATACAAGACCTAACACTGTTGCCAATGTGAATAGCCGACAGGCTGGTTCAATGTAGATACCGGTATTTCATATCAATGTTGCCAACGATGATTTGTGATTTAAAAGAATTAAGCTCTGATTACAAACCTATATCATCCTCTTTTTTCAAATTGTCCATTTCCATGATCGAAGAAGTTTTAGTTATTGACATCTGCAGATGACATTTACAGTTCACTCAATTGAGGTTTGGATAAGCTTTATATTTGAACTGTAGCGGTGACACATGTACCATGCCACAACATATACAAAGTCCAATTTGGAAATGCTAATTGGGTGATAGCAAGGTTTTAGTTACTTAATAATGTAGTAATTAATGGGAGGTCAAAGGTGACGGACATACGGACAAATTAAGAAGGCCATAAACCGATGAGAATACTGCATGATACCGGTACTACCAACATCTTTGCAGTAATGTAGATCACAAAAAAATGCATCACAGAAGTAAATTTCCAAGTACAATTCATTGGTATTCAAAGCTTGGGTTTCAATAAGGCAATTAGCACTTTTTTCAGAGATAAAAGTCGTGTATGTGACAAAGTTTTAACAGCCTTTGTGTACATTGTAGTTAACAAATGAAAAGTATAAGTATTTTACCCATTTACATAAAAAATCTGCAAGTCTTTACCATGGTGCTAACTCTGTCGTATTCAACATTTTTTTTAAAGAGGCAGCATGAATCTTTGCAAATGATCATGTTTTGATGGAAATTTTGTTCTCTCTCAACAAATGAAGCACCATGAATGCTATCTAATATTTTTTTAATCACTTATATTTACTCTAAAAATTCAACCAGTTCAACAAAATTCTAACATAATTTTGTTATCTAAAAAAATGAAACTATTATCAATCAATTGTACAAGTGTTATGCATGTACCAAGTTTCAACCTATTATTATGGTACAGAATAAACAAGCAGAAAATAGTTAATTAGCATGCAAATTAGCTTATTTTTATGTGCATATTAATTAGAAGCTCTTTTAATATTTTGATCAATTCATTTGTGCAAACAGATGCAAATATATAGTGAACATGCTAAAACAGATTATTATGCAAATTACCTCATTAACATGTATAAATTTGATGCCCATGATATAGTAGCTATGTGTAAAAAAAAATTGTTGTAATGCAGAATTATAAAATATTAACTACTTTGACTGTAGAAATAACTGCTATTATTAAGTATGTGCATAACACTATAAATAATTTTGTTTGTTAATTTTCTCATTCTTAACCCTTAATAACTCAAAATCATACAAAACATTTTCTTCACAAAACCTTTTATTTTGAAAACTACATGTATATAAGCAATTTGGATACTACCCTGGTAATTGGTAAATAAGAACACAGAAGAAATTTTGTCCTACTTGGTGTTAGAGGACACCTTTTTGTACCAGTACATGTTGTGGGGAGATTCATTTGAATTATTGATCTTCATTCATAACCATGTTTTCTTCCTATTTCATTTTTTTCATGTAATGCTATGAGAAACTAGCACACCCAGTTTTAATTTGGCCAATATTTGTTTCGAAAGTCAGAGTAAACACCATATTTGTGATCAGGCAATGAGAACGCCTCCCGCCTTACAAATTGTTACTTGACGCGATCTATGGCAACATTGTATGTTTTTGTGCTCTTTTGAGCAGTTGCTTTCCAGCTGTTTACGAGTTAACATCTGTTGAAGAATAAACGAGATTGAGTTCTAGTTTACATGACGTGTTCGTTTCAGTTTTCACTACCGTGACTGAGAAGATCCGAACCTTCCCTTCCCTTCCCCCACATATGTACTACTTCTACACAGTGAACAAAATGTCTATAATGTATACCAGTATGTGGCAACTTTGATTGATGCAAGCACGAGACAATGATATAAAATATGTTCAGGAAGCAAAATCCCCATGGAATATCAGTGTAGAAAGATGTAGTTGGATAGCATGAATTTGAGATACATGTATCTCATCTTGGATATGACCAAGTCAACTTACATCTGTGTGAAAGTAAGGTATGTAACCTTGAAACAAAGTTTACAACTGTAATTAGGAATGAATATTTTAGTCCTGGGACATAATGCATTTGTTGTTATGAATAGCAGCATTCAAATATCTACATGTAACTTATTCTCTAAGAAACTTCCTGTGAAAAGATCAATAACCCCTTTTTTTATACTTCATTTACATCATAGCCCGAGTATTTGTTAGTTATGTCATTAACCTTTTTTTATGCTCAAGTTATGTAGGTTTTACGCCTTGCACAAATCAATTGGTTCACTGGATTATTGTCTAGGGTATAATTTCCTGAAATTAGTATGTGTTTCATACTACGCAAAAACTGGGACTAAAATTACAAGACAATGTTTGCCATTCTCAGGGATAATAATCATTCATTATGCACTAAAGTTCAACCTCATACTGTGATAGCTATGGCTTTTTTTATATCCATTTATTTTGCAAATCAACTTTTTGTTATGAATTATTCAATTGACCATTTTTACGACATCACAGACTTTATCACAGACTGTTTTTGAACTAAATTTCAATGCATAAGAACTGTCTCAGATTAAGCAGTAACCATTGGCAGATTATGTGGTAACCATTGGCAGATTATTAGGTAATCATTGGCAGATTATGTGGTAACCATTGGCAAATTATGTGGTAACCATTGGCAGATTATGTGGTAACCATTGGCAAATTATGTGGTAACCATTGGCAGATTATTAGGTAATCATTGGCAGATTATGTGGTAACCATTGGCAAATTATGTGGTAACCATTGGCAAATTATGTGGTAACCATTGGCAGATTATTTGGTAATCATTGGCAGATTATGTGGTAACCATTGGCAAATTATTAGGTAATCATTGGCAGATTATGTGGTAACCATTGGCAACATATGTGGTAACCATTGGCAGATTATGTGGTAACCGTTGGCAGATTATGTGGTAACCATTGACAGATTATGTGGTAACCATTGGCAGATTATGTGGTAACCATTGGCAGATTATGTGGTAACCATTGGCGAATTATGTGGTAACCATTGGCAGATTATTAGGTAATCATTGGCAGATTATGTGGTGACCATTGGCAAATTATGTGGTAACCATTGGCAAATTATGTGGTAACCATTGGCAGATTGTGGTAACAATTGGCAAATTATGTGGTAACCATTGGCAGATTATGTGGTAACCATTGGCAGATTATGTGGCAACCATTGGCAAATTATGTGGTGACCATTGGCAGATTATGTGGTAACCATTGGCAGATTATGTGGTAACTATTGGCAAATTATGTGGTAACCATTGGCAAATTATGTGGTGACCACTGACAAATTATGTGGTAACCATTGGCAGATTATGTGGTAATCATTGGCAGATTATGTGGTAACCATTGGCAGATTATGTGGTAACCATTGGTAGATTGTGTGGTAATCATTGGCAGATTATGTGGTAACCATTGGCAAATTTTGTGGTAACCATTGGCAGATTATGTGGTAATCATTAGCAGATTATGTGGTAACTATTGGCAGATTATTAGGTAATCATTGGCAGATTATGTGGTAACCATTGGCAAATTATGTGGTAACCATTGGCAAATTATGTGGTAATCATTGGCAGATTATGTGGTAACCATTGGCAAATTATGTGGTAACCCTTGGCAAATTATTAGGAAATCATTGGCAGATTGTGGTAACCATTGGCAAATTATGTGGTAACCATGTGGCAACCATTGGCAAATTATGTGGTAACCATTGGCAGATTATGTGGTAACCATTGGCAAATTATGTGGCAACCATTGGCAGATTATGTGGTAACCATTGGCAGATTATGTGGTAATCATTGGCAGATTATGTGGTAACCATTGGCAGATTATGTGGTAATCATTAGCAGATTATGTGGTAAGTTAACTATTGGCAGATTATTAGGTAATCATTGGCAGATTATGTGGTAACCATTGGCAAATTATGTGGTAACCATTGGAAAATTATGTGGTAACCATTGGCAAATTATGTGGTAACCATTGGCAAATTATGTGGTAACCATTGGCAAATTATGTGGTAACCATTGGCAAATTATTTGGTAACCATTGGCAAATTATGTGGTAACCATTGGCAGATTATTAGGTAATCATTGGCAGATTATGTGGTAACAATTGGCAAATTATGTGGTAACCATCGGCAGATTATGTGGTAACCATCGGCAGATTATGTGGTAACCATTGGCAGATTATGTGGTAACCATTGGCAAATTATTTGGTAA